TTAACTGTTCATTAGCAGTTATGAAGTATTATTATTCTGCATCCCTAATCCTACCCAAAACCTAAACCCAACTTCTACCGTACTATTAATAAACAGCTAATTAGCCGTTTATTAAGCTAGGAGTGTTAATGGTTTGTTAATACTGTGAATTGTGACCTAAACTAAAGTGTTAGCCAATGTATAAATCCACAATATCTTGCATCATTATTGACAACTTTTAAAACTATTATCATTTTATTCAAGTTGTCTTACTTCAGCATCTGTCTTCTGAAATCAACAAGGAGAGAAATGTGGTTTTTGATTGTTTGTATAAGTGAACACAGATTTTTCTGTTATTTTTAACCGTTAGCAACATGTGTTAAAATTCCTTACGCTTTGTTTTATTCATCATGTTCCCATCTGAAGGATAAAAACAAACCCTGCGAAACAGACTGGCAAGGTTTGTTACCAAACACAATAAATAAAATCAGGGCCAACAATGTTTCCACAAACAATGTAATTGGAGTTTTGATCTGGGCTATTGGTGCAGAGAAAGTCAAATTATTCACAGAGCTTTCGCAAATCATTCACAGCGTCTCGTTCTGCCTTTTCAATCAATTTATGTCAAATGTGAATATATTGCATGGCGTTCAGAAGAGCTTTCAGAAGTATTTATCTTTCATTCTATTTGGACAGTTGTTGTTTATAAAGCTACTTACAAAGCTACCTAATTACGGGAAACGGCCAAGTGAGACATTATGGGGTTAAATGGGGTTTGTGCAGACACACAAAAGCATGATTCATATAGTAAATAAACAATAGTTTGTTACATATACAAACTTTCAGAAAACATGCACACACTGTACCGCACATGAACTGGCACGAGACCAAATCAAAACGGTTTAGGAGGAGCTTTAATAACCTTAAGTTATCTAAATTGTAAACGTATTTACACATATAGCCCAATTTTCATTTAAAGGTTTGAATATTTTATACCACACAAGATAAAAACTCTTCAGCATTTGGGATTTGTTGATATTCTGTTCTATTTGCACACATAGGCATTTTGTTAAAGCTCTTTTACTTTTGTTTATTGTACTGTATACACACAAGGATTCATGCAGGATGCTAAAAACTTTCAGATGACCTTATGACAAATAAAGCTAAACTCACAGAACATTTCAATTCAGTTACACACAGAAGAGAAATACATTCTATGAACATTTTATATTTTTGAGAATAAATGATCTCAACGCCATCTCTGTATTATCTGTCACCTGTTGTTACGCAAGATATTTCAAGTCATTCGAGGCCTTCAATAAACGACGCCATCTGGTGGCTTTTTTATCAGTGTTCTCAATCTACAACCTTTTCAAATTACTGTGTTCATTGGTGTGGCTTTTCCTGTATGGGACCACCACAATCTCAATTTATTAATTCAGCATTCAGAACTAGCCTTTGGGGGCAAATGAACAAGAACATGACTTTCATCTTTGTTCCTATCATAGCAGATCCAAATATTTCTCTTTGACAAGCAAAGTAGACCTAATTAAAGATATTTAATTATTTGCAGCACTATACATTCATTCATTTTCTTGTCGGCTTATTCCCTTTATTAATCTAGGGTCGCCACAGCGGAATGAACCGCCAACTTATCCAGCACGTTTTTACGCAGCTGATACCCTTCCAGCCGCAAACCATCTCTGGGAAACATCCACACACACTCAAACACTACGGACAATTTATCCTACCCAATTCACCTGTACTGCATGTCTTTGGACTGTGGAGAAAACTGGAGCACCCGGAGGAAACCCACGCGAACGCAGGGAGAACATGCAAACTCCACACAGAAACGAGCAAAGGTTCGAACTAGCGACCTTCTTGCTGTCAGGCGCCAGCACTACTTACGGTGCCACTGCTTCGCCCTGCAGCACTATATACTAGTGTTTTTAGTATGTTTTTAATATACTATATAGTGACTAAAAAGTCTTTTTTTTGAAGTCTTTTTCAAAAGCTTGTTATGCAAACTGATCTTAAAAATGATGCTACGTTTGAGTACAATTTCAATAACAATCGCTACTTGCTATATTGTGATAAATAATTTACGATGGGAGCCTATAATAAGAGCCTAAAGCACACCTGAGATGATAATGCATCCACAGTGTGATGCTTTTTTTTCAGGTAATTTAATCAGCAAGAGTCCATTATTCCAATTTCACTGACTCAAAAAATATTACTTTTTTTGTTTGGGGGGGGGGGGGTTGTTTTATATTCAATCCACTTAAGTTTGTAAAAACTAATAAGTTAACTTATTTTCTTCATGTTGTCCCAACACAAATCAAATGTGTGGAACCCAGCATTTATTGCAGTATATGGCTAAAACACGTCAAGACATTGTTCAGATGTTGTATTTCATTTGTCGGATGTTGCCTTTGTTATTAGATTAGATTCAACTTTATTGTCATTACACATGAACATGTACAAAGCAACGAAATGCAGCTTAGGTCTAGCCTGAAGTGCAATAGCAGCAAGTGCAGGATACAGGTAAAAGTTATAAAGTGCACTTACAGAAAAAATATGGTGATATATGGTGCCTTTCAGCCGCAACCCAGCACTGAGAGTGCATTCATGAACCCCCAGTGTTGGGAAACAAACACACTCAAATATTATTGTTTGAGTTTATTCAATTCACTTACAGTATACTGCACAATCTTGATGGTTGGAAAAACAGAAAGGCTTCCTAGTCCAGCTGCGACTCGAAACAGCAACCTTCTTGTTGTGAGGCAACAGTCCAAACCCCTTGAGCCTTGCTACCCCAGAGCTGCACATAATAGAAAATAATTGTAAATTTTGTGGCAAAAATAAAAAGGTGGTCATCTTTTTTGTATATTTAATTTATATCAGGTGTCTCGGTTGTTAGCATTGTCACCTCACAGCAAAAAAATAAATAAAAATCGCTGGTACAAGTCCCGGCTTGATTGTAAGTGAGTAACTTATATTAAAACATAATATAAGTCCGGCACTGATGAAGAACTCAAAACGTAACACGCTTTGTGTTAGACTTTTTAACTTAACAACTGCCATTTTTGGAGCTTAGGTGTTGCCGCCTTGAATATATGTTTGCACTTTTTGCTGTTTGGCTGAGCTTTTGTGCATTTTTGTAATGTAAACGTCAAATCTTTAAAACTTTAATATTATTTAAACACTGTTCTATAATTGAAAAGTAAGAATATAATATAAAATATGCAATATATAGTTTAATTATTCAGCACACTGCCCTGACCTGTTTTTTTTTTTTTTCTTGCTAACTAATGAATGTTTCTGTTTGACATTAAATGGCTTTCCCGAGGTAAATGATCATGCATTCATTTTTGGCTTGGTCCCTTTATTAATCTGGGGTCGCTTATCCAGCACATGTTTTACGCAGCGGATGTCCTTTCAGCCGCAAGAGGTAAATATAATTAAGTGATAAATTTTTACTCGGTTTACATGCGTCTTTCCGGTTGCAGAAATAACAGATTAAAATTAAACGTACATCATTCGGTAAGTTGTAAAATTTCTTTCAACACACCTTGTAATGTCCAGTCGTGACCAGGTCGTGACCAATGAGGTCGTGTGACTCATTCGTGTTCGTCCCGGTGTTCCCGCCTTTTCTGATTGCCTTTTCGACGTAATATAGGCCTAACGTTACAAGATGATGGATACTGAAATGTGACTACTATTTTCTTATAACAAAAGCAGGTGAAGATTTTTAGGAAAAGATAAAATATGGGTATTTTTGCGTAATAAGTCGAATCACAAAAAGACAGTTTTCCCTAAAAATAATAGCACACCTTAGATTAACATCAGAAAAAAATCATTATAATCAATAAATATTACGGCAATGTAACTTGTTCAGCTCTTTTAGAAACAAATTACCTGCTACAAAAAAATCTGACCTGTGGATAATCTAACATTGCATAATGAAACAGTACACGATGCCCTTTAGTTAAATTATTTTTTCTATTTTACTTTGAAGGGCTGTGCGCTCTCTTTGACTTTTATTTTGAAAATTGCCGCTAGGAAGTGCTAGCTCCTTCGCACAGGAAGTTGAATTATCAGCTGATCATGGTGTTTTGGATGGAAGTTGTTTTTGGCACGGAGGGGCTCTTTCTTTATCATCTTAAGCAAATCTTATTCGTCGGAGACACCGGGAATTAAAGTTGCATGTAAGAGCACGCCATCTCAAACGAACGAAACGACGGAACCCGGAGAAATCCGCGATATTATAAACAGATGATGCTTTTAAGTGCTGATCTGTTTGCTTGCTGTTGAATCATCGGAAAGAAAGAAAACAACGTCAGGCGAGGCTCGTGAGAGTCACTGATAGTCCGATGTGTTTGTGTGTTGACTCATCTTGACCAGCTTTGTCATAAATAGTTTAAACACATGTAATTTAACTAGTTTTAGACGGCATGTTGTATTCGTTTGGTGTAATAAGTAGTAGCTTATTTGTTTTATGTAACTGAGGAGTAAGTCAAAGGTCAGGTCAGAGTGTTTGTTTTTTCATTATTTTTATTTTTTTTCAGCATACAGCAGTTTTAAAATACTACATTTGACTGTTCATTATTAATTCTCATGGACGTTGATGTGAGAGCAGCAACCTGTAACCATTTACTCCCCCTGACATCAGCTCGTAGTGACTGACACACTGTTTACTGTACTATTTATTGAATCGTTGTCATAATTGAGTTTGCTTTTAAGTGTGTATCCGTTATTGGTTTAATCGTGTTATTTATAAGCATGGTGACAGTAGAATGCGTTGATAGCTGGATTGCATCACTTGTGTTTTGACATATCTGACGTCACGGGTGTCCTGTGTCACTCAAACTGTGCTTAAAGTGTGTTTGCAAACCTACTCTTCGCTATAATCGGACTGATTTGGTGATTTAACGGTGGATTACTCAAGAGCTTTCGAGAGGGAACATTCAGATCTGGCACAGTCAGAGCTCCTCGTTGATATCCCCATTTTTTCCCCGCCAATGCTGGATCTGGAGGTCGTTCCTGAGCGATCTTTGGGAAATGAACAATGGGAATTCGCATTAGGTGAGTGTGAATTCGGATTGCTCGTTGGACTAAGGTTGGATTGGCTAACGATGATGTGCTTTTTTCTTGACAGGATGTTTGAAAACGAGCTTTCTAGCTATTGCATTTGCATTTCATAATTGCATCATATGCTCTTTGACACGTTCACATCTGAAGTTAGCTTGACCTGAAAATTGTCTCTTACACTATTGAGGTGAAGGTAGTTTTATATTCTCACATTCAGACATTCTCCCTAATAATATAGTTACACAAAAAGAATCTTTGCAAATCCTAAATTGTGAAAATAGGGCTAACATTGTTTTCAAGTCAAACTAACATTTGATTTCAGACCAAATATTCAAGGTACCATGGGAAAAAATATAGGGAGCATGTCACAAGTATGTCACTACGAATGTGCAAATATAAAACCAACTTTGCCTCAATTCTTACACTCAATGAATAATTTGTTACTTTTTTTTCTAGAGTAAATCAAAGTAAATATAAATCCATATTTAAATGCAATTATGAAATAGTTTTTGCATTATGCTAACTTAGTTTTTTTATTCTGATGTCCTCCACTTTATTTCCCGTCTGCATATCTTAATAATAACGGAATTATCATCTGTATTACCATGAGAAACTTTTCAGAGAAAGACAAAAAGGCTTTTCAAACATCTAAACAAGAAAGAATAGCTGTAGCTTTAATTTTTGTCATCTGAAAGTGCCTTGTTTATTTATTTATTTTATTTATTTATTCAGAACAAAATATTTCTACCATGATATAAAGAGTATGCCCATTAAAATTTTATTTAGTGTAACAACTTTGTTTTCTAAAAATCTTAACAGGCTTATGATTATTTATGATTATAGTTTTCCTTCTTATAACTTGCCACTCTTCTTCAAACCACTATGTTTTACTTATTGCTAAGGCCAGACAGAATCTGCAGATATTTTTTGCTATTTCTACTGAGACTTTTGTATAAAATCTGTGGATTTATGTGGAATGATTTTGGGACTATCATAACTAAAATGTAATACATGAAATAAAAAAAAAAAAAGCTTTTAACTGTTGCGATTAGATCTACTTATTTGGTAAACAAAGCTAGCCTCTCATAAAATGTATCTACTAAATGACAGAAAATATTACTTTACAAACTGTATTTTAAATAAATCAAATGAATAAATCGCTCTCATAATAGTCAATATTATTACTAAAATTTACTTAAAAACTGATTAAATATAAATTTAAACACATTTATAAATAAATAGACTCAATGATAGGCTAAAAATCTGCAGATTTCTCCACGTGTAGATTCCATGTGGGCCTACTAATGCAATAACGTTAATAACGCAATGATAATGCAATAACAACAATTCAATCACACTATCATTAAACATGTACACATAGACACCTCCTATATGCAATAAAATTTCAGGTTAACTATGTCTGTAAATAATTACTTATATTTAATTTTAACTTTAACTTAATCTGATTGAAATGCAATAATGTGCACATTTTGTAAAGCTGCTTTGAAACAATAATTATTGCAAATAGCGCTATACACATAAACTTGAATTGAATAATGCTTGCAAGTAGGATGATGAGACTAGTCAGAATAAGTATGCTGTTTCATTTGTATATGAACACACTTTGTTACTCTGAATGATAACAAAACATTAATTCAATTATCATATTTTCACTAAAGCATCTGTTGACATCACATTTATCAAGTGAAATGTAACCTGAAAACGGTCTGAAATGTTTCTCAGGGATGCCATTGGCCCAGGCCATTTCAATATTACAGAAACACTGCCGAATCATCAAAAATGTCCAGGTGCTCTACAGCGAACAAGTAAGTAAACGTCAATATAGTTGTCTGTAAAGGCCCATTTACTGTGGGCTCTTTCTGAGGCCCTCAAGTTATGTGTCTAGATTTATTTGTGTCCTTATCTGACCTGTTTCTGTTCCCCAAACAGATGCCACTCAGCCACGACCTCATTCTCAACTTGACTCAGGATGGAATTAAACTGCTGTTTGATGCCTGCAATCAGAGACTGAAAGTGAGACTCTGAGTCTGTGTGCATGTGTGAGAGAGAAAGAGAGAGAGAGATTGTGACATATGAGGACACAAAATTGTGTAAAGACATGGGTAGGACTCAAGTATTACAAGTAGAAGGTGAATTATGTGAATGCTGCCTATAGAATATGTAGAATTATATAGAATAGTGTTTTCAGAAAGTATAATGCACAGTTTCTTGGACTTATGGATTGGGTTGGTATAGGGTAATGGAAAATGCAGTTTTTAGTACAGTTAAAAAACAGCGAACACATATGAAATGTCCCCATAATTCACACAAACAAGTGTTTTTTTGTGTTGTTTTTGGATTAAATATGTAATTTTATTTTGTTGACCTCATTCTTTAATGCAGAAGTGCACCCTTTTTTGCGATTGTTTT